CTGAAATTGAGCGGCGTGTGAAGGCTGTGGGTGCTATTACTCTTCTCACCACCATCCTGGTGTCCGCTAGTCACTGCACCCGCAGACCCACAGACGACCTGCATCAGCTTTCCCCAACACAGCAGCTGCAGTTTCACGGTAGTGCGGGAGCTCTTTTGCCTTTTCAACTCATCCTCCAGCAGATCACCACCATCGGCTCTCATCAGGTAATGCTCACTTTTTGCTGTTTACTGTTGTGTAATCCAAATCCACTGACGACTCGTCAGTGCACCACCAATGCACCATTTAGCATGATTGCACCATTCTTTCCTTTTTGTTCTATTGTTCGAAACTGTTGGCCACAGTTTTATTTGTTTGTTATTTGGTTGTTAAGTAATTGTGCCATTTATTCAAAGTTGCACATTTAGTTCTCTGCTAGTTTCTCTCTGTGCACATTTTGATTTGTCTCTGTAATTAGCGGTATGCCGTCTCTACTCGGCAATGCATTTGATTTGCCTGCACGGTCTCATTTGGGTAATGGACAGCAGCACCGGCAGCCGGAGCAGCCGACGAACAGGACAGGAGCATGCTTTATCTGTGCGTACACTTCTTTGTTTGTTTGTTCGGGCTCATAGCTACTGCAAGGCTGCTGCTACCTGCCTCATGCATTGTCTGTGTTTGCACTCTCACTCTGAGAGCTGAGCTTACGCTGTTGCTCAACATGCTGTCAGCTTATACCTGCGGATGGAATAATATGCATACAATGTGCACAAATCTATTAATGCATGGACGCTTGCCTAACGCTAAAGCTGCCTGGCCTATCAGCAGCAGCAGCAGTTGTAGTTCCCGCTCCTCCTCTGTACTCCACTTGATTTGCACGCAGTTTGTGTCTGTGCATCAGATGGAGGGCATCATTCAATCCAATCCTNTCCCGCTCTTCCTCTGTACTCCACTTGATTTGCACGCAGTTTGTGTCTGTGCATCAGATGGAGGGCATCATTCAATCCAATCCTCGGTGCACCTCAATCATTGCCCACCAGATTGGCTTTGCCACTCAACAGCAGCACAGCAGCAACTGCAGCGGTGAAAAGGGGGGTTCACTAGTCATCAGCTGTGTACGGTGCACACTTTCCACATCCTCTCTCTGTTTGATCTGCCGCTGAATCCCGTCGTTTGTACCACTTTCTGTTGTTGCTTTAACTCTGAACTCTTTTCCTCTTTCTCTTAGGGTTAACCAAAACAAGGGCCTGGCCACCTCCCCCCTCACCTTTCATCCCATCTCATCACCCATCACCCCCACCGTTTTGCACCATGCGCACCAAAGCCCTGGTCACCACAGTGTGCGTCATCTTTGTGCCCACGCTGCTCATCTACTACGTCTACTACGACTCCCTCTATGACCGTACTGTGACCCAGCCGCGACACTCTTCCGCCGCTCTAGTAGGCAGCGGAAGTAGCAGTAGCAGTAGCAATAATGTAGTTCCCATTCTCACTGACTCAGTGCAATCACACCACAAATACGCAGGCATCTGGGAGAACCAGCTGAACCAAGGAGGAGCAAATGGTGCCGCCTACAACGCCAGCAGAAGGGCAGCGGTGAGGGCGCTCTTCAAGGCGCCGCCCCTGCCGACGCCTGCCGCCAGCCGTGACCCGACGCCTGGAATCGAGACGAAGCGAGCCTTTGTCCGCGAGATGATGAAGGACGCCTGGAGCAACTACGCCCGCTACGCCTGGGGCTACAACGAACTGAAGCCTGAATCGCGCGAACCAAAGACGGACAGCATCTTTGGCTCGGCGAAGATCGGCGCCACCATCGTCGACTCCCTGGACACGCTTCTCCTCATGGACCTGAAGGCGGAGTTTGCCACCGCAAAAGACTGGCTCGCCACCAGCTTTCATTTTGCCGCCACCGAAAACGAAGTGTCAGTTTTTGAGACGGTCATCCGCTACGTCGGCGGCCTGCTCACCGTCTACGCCATGACCGGGGATGAGCTCTTTCTCAACAAGTCGCTCGAGGTGGCGGAGGCGCTGCTGCCAGCTTACGCTACTGAGACCGGTAAGAATTTTAAGGTCAAAGTTTTTGGATTTGAATTTTAACCTTTCAACATCCTTCAGGACTTCCCCACGGCCTGATCGTGCCCGCCACCAAGCGCAACTACCACCACAGCTGGGCCTTTGGCTCGATCCTCTCCGAAATGGGCAGCCAGCAGCTGGAGTACAGCTACCTGAGCGACATGACCGGCGACGGGCGCTTCCGCGACGCCGTCCTCCGCATCCGCAACCGCCTCGACTCGACGCCGAAGCAGGCCGGCCTGTACATGACCATGATGGACAGCAGCACCGGCCGCTGGAATGAGAACAAGTCGACGATGGGCGCCCTCGGCGACAGCTTCTACGAGTACCTGCTCAAGTCGTACGTCCAGTCGGCCCACCGCGACCCGGTCGCCCTGCGAATGTACAGAGAGGCGATGGCGGCGGTGGAGCGGGCGGGCATGCTCGTCACCAGCCGCACCGGACTGCTCTACTTTGCCGACTGGATCTACGGGAAGACGAACAACAAGATGCAACACCTCACCTGCTTCTCCGGCGGCATGTACGCCCTCGGCGCCCACCACCTGGCGATGGACCTGAAGAGGAGGAAGGAGGAGGCAGAGGCATCTGCCCTTGCGGCTAACTTCACCGCCGAGGAGCACCTCATCGCCCACCACATGGCACTGGCGGTGAACATCACCGAGACCTGTTTTCAGTCGTACAATCGCACGCCGACGAAGCTCGGTCCGGAGTCGTTCTTCTTTGACGACGAGGACGACGCCACCAATCGCAATGGTGACATGTACATTCTCAGGTAGGAGAAGGTCAAGTTCTTGCAAGTTGAAAGCCAGTTCTAATCATTTACACTGTCACCAGGCCCGAAGTGATCGAGAGCTACTTTGTCCTCTGGCGACTGACGCACGACAACCGCTACCGCGAGTACGCCTGGGCGGCCGCCCAAGCCCTTCACCGCCACTGTCGCACCTCGGGCGGCGGCTACTCTGGCATCCACAACGTCATGTCGGTGCCCGTCAGCCGCGACAATACTCANTTTTGCAAGTTGAAAGCCAGTTCTAATCATTTACTCTGTCACCAGGCCCGAAGTGATTGAGAGCTACTTTGTCCTCTGGCGACTGACGCACGACAACCGCTACCGCGAGTACGCCTGGGCGGCCGCCCAAGCCCTTCACCGCCACTGTCGCACCTCGGGCGGCGGCTACTCTGGCATCCACAACGTCATGTCGGTGCCCGTCAGCCGCGACAATACTCAGCAGTCCTTCTTCCTCGCGGAGACGCTCAAGTACCTCTACCTGATCTTCTCCTCGGACGACCTTCTCCCGCTCGACCAGTGGGTCTTCAACACCGAGGCGCACCCGCTGCCCATCTGCGGCCTGAACACTGCCTACCCGCGGCCGCTCTGCAATGACCGATTCGTCTAGAGCTTTCTNGACCAGTGGGTCTTCAACACCGAGGCGCACCCGCTGCCCATCTGCGGCCTGAACACTGCCTACCCGCGGCCGCTCTGCAATGACCGATTCGTCTAGAGCTTTCTTAGAATCTACTCACCTCCTCACCGAACCATGTGATACTAACCACAAGGCCCTTCCTTTTCTACCGAGCGCGATCCAAACTAACCCAAACCGATGTGAATAAAAGTGAATTTAGTTTTTTCAAATCTTTTGCCCAAATCCAACGGTTTTTCATTGGCTGGTTGAAATAGCCCAACAGTTCGCGCAGCGCCGTTGGTTGAACGGCCCAGCCAATTAGCAGGAGCCATTTGGTTAATTCGAACTTGCCGACCAATGAGTGCGGTATCCAGCTCATCCTCCTCTCGCCTTCGCCACCTTGGTTAACGGTTTTCCTTCGTGTGTGGCCTCTGCGCACACTCCGAGAGCGCACGAGCCAGCTCGCTACACTGTAGCCAGCCCGCGTTTGGCGCTCTCTCGCCACTCTGTCTCTAGCCGCTCGCCACGCTGTCTCGTTCGCTACACTTGACTTGCTCGAGCGCGCAAGGCCCTTCGGACTTCAGTCGATTTCAGGCTTCCATCGCCTTGCCACCTCCTGTCTCCTCACCCACTGGTAACTATCATCCCTTTATCCTTCTGATCTCATCCCTTAATCGTCCCCCTTTTTTCCATTCACTTTTTCCTCCTAGGTCCTTTTGGTTTTTCAGTAGTAAAAGCCCGAGCCGCCCCGACGCCGCCTTCCCCAAAATGCCGATCTCCAAGCCAGTGAAGAAGCAGAAAATCATTCTGCCGTCGCCGGAAAGCTTTTACCAGATGCCGCTGGAGACGAAGGAGATGATCCTCCGTCGCCTCTCCACCGACAACCTCATCCTCTACATGGACCAGCTGGTGAAGGGGAAGAACAACCGTCGCGAGGCGGCCAACTGCGTCACCCTCGAGCAGATCGTCGACGAGGACGGACAGTTGGAGTCGGGTGGGACGCCCGTTGGGGGAGGCCTCGGCGCCTACGTCGCCATTCACGAGTGGGTCACCCGGAACGCCGCTCTCTTTCAGCCTGGCAGTAGTAGTGGTGGTGGTGGTGGCGGAAGTGCTCTTTCTGGAAACTTCGATCTGGAGCCGCCTCCGGGCTTTCCACTGGGTAAGTTTTCGAATCTTTTTTTAACTTTTACTAAGTTTTAACCCATTTTCCCGCAGCCATGCACAGCACCCAGGCAATCAACCAGACGCTGCTCAACTCAGCTACCTCGCAGCAGTTGATGAAGAATGATCTGCGTCGTTACGGTGGTAGTGGTGGTAATGTCGGCCATCAGCAGCAGCAGCCACAGCAGAACGCCTTCAACCTGAGCGCCATGTCGGCGAATCTGCCCTCAGTCGCGGACGCCTTCTCTTCCATTCAAGCTGGCGGGAGAAGTGGAAATCGCAGCTCAATGGCCCCTACCCTCAGCTCGTACGCTCCGCTGCGAAACATCTGGGACAGCGTTCCCAACAACAACAACAGCTCAGGCAGCAACAGCTCGGGCGGCTCTGGTGGCGATCCTGGTAGTGGCAATAATCGATGGCCAAACTCTCTGAGCACTCTCAACATGAGTGGAGCGTACCACCGGCAGTGGCCCTCCTCCTCCTCTTCCTCTGCCGCACTCGACGCCCCGGGCCCATCGTCGCAGGCCACGGGCATTGACTTTCGCAGCGGCGTCGAGACGCCCGTTCTCTTCCACTCTGACGCCGCCCTGGGACCGTGCAGCAACGCCGCCACCAATGCCAACATCAGCCCCCTTCGAAACGTCGCTCCCGGTACGCCCAGTCGCCCGACGCTGATGATGGGCCTGTCGCCCGGAAAGGCGCCCTCGAAGGACCGCGAGTACATTCCGGCGGCGAACGCCATCCAAGCGAAGGTCAAGAGCCTCTGGGAGTCAAACTATTCCAGTGGCAGTGCTGGGCAAGGTCCCAGTCGCTGGCAGCAGACTGCCCCCGCTGTGCCGTTCAAGGCCGCCGTCGAACGACCGAGCGGCCTCAACAATGGCCAGCCTTCCCACTCTCAGCAACAGCAGCCGAAGCAGTCCTCTGCCTCCTTGCCCTTCAGCAAGGACACCTTCAGCAGCTGTAGCAGCAGCAGCAGCAGCTCGACCAAGGTGGGCGGCGGCAGCGGTGGCGCCGGAGGCAGCAGCAGCAGCAAGGGCCTCATCGCCGGCGTCGAGGAGATGCTCAGCATGCAGGGCCCACTAGAGCCCGACTTTCTGCGCGCCCACAACCTGCCCACTCCCGAGGCCTTCAATGAGCTGAACGAGGAGGCGGCCGCCCGTCTGCTGGCCAACCTGCCGCGCAACGTCCGGAACAAGTACGAGTACCACTGCTGGACGTGCAAGCTCAATCACCTGCTCGCCATTCGTCCGCAGATCGTCGATGAAGGCGGTGAGGAGGGTGGTGATGGCAATGGCAATGCTGGGGATGGAGATCAGTAGAGTGGTCATACTTTCCCACCACCTTTTCTTCCTTTTACCAGAGCCCATCCCCCTCTTTGATCTCTCTCTCTCTCTCTCCATTTTCTTTCCCCATCGGCAATATTTAGCCTTAGCAATTTCCTTTTAATTAATTAATTGATTCCATTTACTTCCTCTTATTTCTATCCCATACTTTTCTTATCAACTAATCTCCCTTTTTTATCACTCCTTATTTCTCTCTTCATTTTGTCTTTTTTCTTCAAGCAAACTCATCCCCCTTCTCTTTTACTATCCCAATTTTAATTGATTATGTAATTTTTCAATTTCTTATTTATCCAAACCCAATAAACAAATTCCATAAATCAAAAATAGTTTTATTTGTTCAATTTGCTTACATACACGATCCGGCGGCTGAGCACACAATCCCGTAGAGATTCATCACAGACAGTGT